TGCCTGAGTGTCACTGTGTAAGTGTGATAACTATTCCAGTGGCCCCCACAAATTATATTAGCTTTGCTAAGGACAGGACTGTTAGAGTCTACTGTCACATTCTTTTGCTGGTTACATTATCTATTTATTATACATGTGACATTTTCTAGTTAAAGGATTTTCATTGTTGAGCAGTACCTCAAATAAACAATTTTGGAGACTCCTATAAAGAAGCCCAAGAAACCGAAATACAAACTAAAGAAGTGGCAGTCAACAGGGGCACTATTTTTTCAAATAACTGCAGGTGCAGTTCAAATGCTGACTAGTATTTCCTAACTCCTAGCAAGACATTTTACTTCCTCACAGCCACGCTTCCCATTCTCTTTTTGGCAACAGCCTTAAATTTTTCCCTCATTATCTTTTTCCTTTTTATTCCTCCAGTGCTGAAGTCCCTAGAGATTTTTAGATGTCATGCCTGATCATAATATGATCTTCTTAGGCAAAGAAACAAATTACAGTACTGTTATAGTGTCTCCAAACCCTCAAACTTTGCAGTAAGTTGAGGAATAGAGCACTCTATTTTAATGACCTTACTGTAGTCTTTTTATGCTAAAAGAAAGTTCACTAAAATCATTTTGATAGTTAAATAGTTTATGATTATATCAAAAAAGAAGTGAAAATGTGCTGTGTTGGTAGTTTTCAAATTTTCAAAAGAAAATTTAGGAAGAACATCTATCCAGCTTCTAATATACTCCATGGTACAATTTATCCTTTAATCCTCTCAACTCTGTTGTGCAGATGAGGAAACTAAAGCTTAGGCAAGAACACATAAATCTAGAAAGCAGAAGTAACAGTATTTGTTCTAGTTGAGCTTTGTTCTAGTTGGCTCAAAAGCCAGACTGATTTCTGTCTCTTCTACAAAAGAAGTAAATAAAGACAAAGATAATTCTATGAACATGCATTTATGAATCTCAGTGTTTAAAGAATATGGGAGTTTGAAAGAAATATTTATTTAAAATGTACTCACCCCCACCCAAATGTGGCAAGCGTGTCAGAACTCAGAATACAGGATGCAATGTATTTACTTTAAAATAATATTCTAAATGCTCATCATGATCTCATTTATTGACAAATAATGCCAAAACATTTGAAGTGTAGTCTTTATTTTCTCTATCTCGCTTACTAATGAAGCCTGTGTTATTTTAGGATTTCTCTTTTTATTTGGTAGAAAGTGGGGATATTTATGAATATAATAATAATGTGAAAAATAGCAAGAGTAACAGAATATTATGCTATTTATGCTATTTTCTAGAAGTTCTGAGCCCTTGTATTGTAAGTTATCATTAGTGATTTACATGGTAGAAATTTTGCCTGACTTTCTCCTATTTTGGATGGAAGTCAGCTTTTGTCTTTACTATTGCACATGACAACTTCCTCTTTTGAAACCTCTTCCTGTTTGCAGACACAAAAATGGAATTTTCGCATGTACTTATTTTTGAAATTTTACCTGCAAACAGGGGTAGGAGTAGGGACTACTCCAGCGTTGCACTCTTGGAAGATGTGGTTACACAGCAAAGCCTCAGCAGCTGGCCGGCAGAGCGGGCTCACCGCTTTCAGTTCATTCCAAGCAGTGTGGACCAACAGCTCTTGGGCCTCCTCAGGGTCCACGTAGGAGGTGTTGAAAAAAACAAGAGCATCTCTTGCCAGGACTGCATTACACACCTCCCCTCTGTACTGGGCACAGTAGCCTTTGTTATCTTTCTGTGGTTTACTGAAAGAAGCAACAAACAACATTCCCAATCACATGCTAATTCTTGGCATTCATTCTGCATTTTTTATTTTTTCGGTTTCCACATCTGCATGACAGAAATAAGAGAAAATTATACTAGCAAATGGGTTGAGATGCTCTATCTGAATATTGTCTTCTTTTCCAGCTGCAATTATATCATCTCTAGCTCTCCGGAGGGCTACTATGAAGACCAAATGTGACAATGGATGTGGAAAGCTTTGGGAATGATCAAGAACTGAATAGATTTGTGGTTTTTTTTATTATTTACATTATAAATAGAATTTGACTACTCTTAACTAAGCCACCTCACATGCTTCTTGCAAATAAGCTGAGGGTTTTTCAGAAATGCATCTGAAAAACATATTCATCGTGATAGTTAACAAATTACTGAGCATGTTAACAATCTGATCTGAAAGGCTTGCAGCTTTAGGAACATAGTTCATTTATGTGTTATGATAGTTAAGTACCTGAATTTTGTAGCACACATACATCTTTGCAATACCTTCCATATTCAGATTCTCTCACTCATACCTAGAAGTCCATTAAAGACAAAGAAAGTCATGTAGGGAGAAGCACGAGGCATGGCTTCCAGGAGCTAAGTAGCATTTTCAGCTTTGCTATCTTCCCATCGCATGTCTTGGGAAAAGTCAACTGGTCACTCTTTGCCTAACTGCCCTACTCTGTAGAGTGATGTAAGTAATTATTCTGAATTCAGATTATTGTATGTTAATGGGTAATATATGTGTGGGAAAAGCCTGGAAATTCTATTATGCCAGCACAAAAATAGGATTAAAATGTTATCTGCTATAACAACTGGAGACAATTAGAAGAATGGAAAATGCTGCTAGTACTCTTTTCACACATCTGTTTGCCCACTTGATGCAATGCTGGGAATTATAATAACTCATAGACTCACCTGGAAAACATTTATTGAGCACTTATTATGGGTAGGCACTGTGGTCTCAATATATTCTTACGGCTACCATCAGATCTATATTGTTAACAGTGACAAAAAACTCTTAAGTTGTGTTCTCATTTATATTTGTACAGTGTTGGAATTTAGCATTTCATTATGTTTAGATAAAGGATTTTCAGGAATAAAATTAAATTGGAATTTGAGGGAAATTTAGAGACCCCATTTGAATGTCAAATATTGATACTTTAATTACAAATCATCATGGGCTGGTCTTTAAAGCGAATCCATTAGAATGAGATATAACGCTTTAGGTAAAACAATGAACTTCTAAGAAACATAGCTATACTTTTAAACAATGTTTTGTGATATAGAATCTTTCTTTAACTCATACCCACATTTTACTAATCAGCCAATATGATTTTTATGATATCACTTCTTTCATTGTGAATTTTTAAAATAATGAGTATGAAAACTCAAAACTTCATGAAAACTTGTGCGGGGTAAAGGTGAGGAAACACCCAAAGAAATAACTTATGACGCAGACTTGTAGGGAACCCAATCTATGACAACACTTAGGAAGTTAGAGAGAAAGAAGGATGCTATTGTTGGGGCTCAGAAAATGGTACCCCAAAGTGAAGGCCCAAGAAGCAGCCAGAGAAGCAAAATCTCTCTGACCTGCTCCTGCCTATCTGTCTCTCCCTCCTTCTTCTCCGAAGCTAGCCATAGATACTGGAATCCCTCCTCCCCCAAGCTGGTCATAGAAACCAGAACTTTTTTTCCCCAAAGCCAGCCATAAAACCTAAATATATTACTCTAACTTCCCCCTTTTTCTGTGTAACAGCTGGCCGTAAAGATATTAAGACCCTCATTCTAGAAGGGTCCTACTCCGTACTCTGGAGAAAGAAATGCTGCACAGAGAGGCCAAGAACAATCTGGACAGACAGGACTTGCTGGATGTCCCTACTCAGTGTGTTAGATTAGATCATACCCAGTTTGTCTAATCATATTTCTACACAGCTGTCCATGCTGCATTGAATCTAAGCATAAAAATGGATAGTTTTCCCCGTATCTCTGAGTCTTCATTCTGAAGGCTTCTGTGTCATGTAAAACTATGATCAAATAAATCTGTTTTGCTTTTCTCTTGCTAACCTAGACATCTTTGTTATATGGGTGTGGGCCGTGACCCTTATGCTGGGGAGGAAAGGGATCACTCCCTCCCCAGCCTACACTGCGCTTTAAGAAACTGAATAATAAGTAATAACCAGAAACAGCTCAAACTGGTTTATCGAGTGGTCTCACATATTGATATAATATCTTATTATAAAGGGAAGATGAATAAGAGCATGTGTAACCCCTTCACTTAGGAAAAAACTGCATCATGTAAAAGCTAAATTTTTCCCACAGTGTATCTGAGCTGAGAATTATTCATCCAGTTTCCACTGTCATGTGTTAACTATTGTATGATGCTGTTTTTCATTTTTCCATGAGTATCTTTTAAAAATAAAACACATTCATGATGTTTCCTTTAATTACACAAGCAAAACACATTTTTTAAAAAAATCGGAAAGAAAAAGTATACAAAAGAAAAATTAATGAAAATAGCTCCAAAGTCTGGGCATGATGGCGCACATCTGTAATCCCAACACTTTGGGAGGCTGAGGTGGGAGGACTGCTTGAGCCCAGGAGTTCAAGACCAACCTGGGCAACATAGTGAGACCCTGTCTCTACAAAACATGATAAAAAGGTAGTCCTAGCTACTTGGGAGGTTGAGGCAGGAGGATCAGATCGCTTGAGCCCAGGGGTTCGAGGCTGCAGTGAGCCATGATTGTGCCTCTGTCCTCCAGATGGGGCAAAAGAGTGAGACCCTGTCTCAAAAAAAAAAAAAAAGAAAAAAAAAAGAAAAAAATAGTTTCAGAGATAAGGATTATTAACAATCACTAATAATCGATCCCTCTGTCTGAATTTCTGCTGCTTCTTTTAATAAAAGCCCTAGAAAATCTTTAGAACAACCTCAGTGTGGCCTAATAGCATTGCTTTTTTAAAAAAACTTTTCAGCATTAGGTGTATAATGCAAAAGAAGAAATAAAAAACAAAGAAAAAAGGAGGATAGTTTTCAAATAGAAATTAGAATAGATTTTGAATCGAAATTGATTTTTTAAAAATTTTTGAGCATTAGGTATAAAATGCAAAAGAAAATATAAAAAGCAAAAGAAAAAAAAGAGAAAAATTTTGAATAGAAATTAGAAGATCTCAGTTTTGGTTTTTCTTTCAAAGAGCTTGATGACCACTAGCCTGTGAAAACCCTTTACATGCTGGGAAAAACCATACAAATACAAAGTGTGTGATTATTGTTAATTTTCTACATCTCTATCACGTCCCTAGGAACATTGAGGACTTGGCTTTGGTAGCATATCTATGCTTGAATTAGATCCACAGGCGATATATAAGACCGTATATCTATATTTATATATCTATATATCTGGATCTGTTTATCAACTGCCTAGTCACAGTTTCCGTGTTTCAACCACTTCCTTTTCCTTTTACTCTCCTCTTTTGCAGCTATTTATAATCTCAAATTTTACACAGTGATCAAATTTTAGATGCAAGACATGGAGACAAATTGGGCCATATCATCCCTCAAATCCCTGAATCTATCACTTAAAAAAAAATTTAAAAGGGAGCTCACAGCAAGAACTGGGGAACAAGATGAATGCAAATAATTTTCATTGGAGCCTTCCGTTTTTTGCAAGTGACGAGACCCCTCCATGTCCAGCTCAAGTTGTTTCTTTGCCTGCAGTTCTTGGGACTGCTGATGGGGCAACACTGGAAACAGCTGGCTCTGTTTGTTGCTCATTTGAACGGTAGGGCAGAGGTCACAGAATGCTGGTTATTTTGGAATGAACTGCCAGACTATGTCCTAAAAATGCTAGTTAATATTGCACATGGAGCCAGTCCCTCTCTTGTCTCCTGACAATGTAAACCTGATTGACCTCCCTTTATGTTTGACCTCCCTTTTTTAGAGGCAACAATGGATATTTGATCCCAAATGCCTCTTTTAATTTCTTTTATAACAGACAACTCAATGTGATCAAATGAAACATTTAAAGGATTCTCACTATGTATAGGTCTTAGTTCTATGTATGAATCACATTCAATAGAACATTTTTAAATGTTATCTCTCAGTTTCTATGAGGGAGACATGTACTTCCTTTGAACACATAATACTTTGTCCAAGGGCACAGCGGATGAGCAGCCATGGCATGCCTGTGTTATGACAACCCCACTACCCTGGTGGAAACTCCACACCTTACTTCCCTCCCTCCCAAGTACGGGCACATTTGATAGCTGTACCTCTGGTATAGAAAAATCTTCTTCCCTTATATAGCAAACTGCCTTATCTCCCCTTGAACTTTCCCAATAAAGGAGATGACCGAGGTTCTACGCCACTTCCAACCTCCAAAGCAAAGTGGAACTGTTTTTGTTCTTTCATGACTAGTGTCTTTGTAGATAATTTATTCTCTAAGGCAAGGGTCAGCAAATATAATCCACAGGACAAACTTGGCCTGCTGCTTTTTTTTTTTTTAGTTTTTATTCAATGACATTTTTATTAATTTTAATTTAGATAAACTTTACTCTCCTGAGCCATTAGCTCCTAAAATTGTCAGTAAAAATTCTTAAAGCAATATTTATATACAAAAATGAACTAAGGATTTTTGATACTATATCTAAACATTGGAAGATGGTCAATTATGATGAATCACTATCACATTTACTTAAAAGTAGTTTAAATTTTCATACAATGTGTATCATGACTGTCACTGTCTTTCAGAGCAATACGTATATATCCATATGATTATTTCTTCAAATTTTTTTAATTGACAAATTGTCTATATTTTATCATGTACATGATGTTTTGAAATATGTATACATTATGGAATGACTAAATTGGCCTGATTAACATATACATTACCTCACATATTTATCATTTTTTGTGGTGTAAACACTTTAAATCTACTCTCTCAGTGATTTTCTAGAATACAATACATTGTTATTTACCATACTCAACATGTTGTACAATAGATCTCTTGAACACATTCCTGCTAACTGAAATTTTGTATACTGCTAGCTGTTTTTATACACAGGCTGCATGCTAAGAATGGTATCTTAAAAATCAAAAGAAGAATTAATGACAGGTGAAATCTATGTGAAGTTCAAACTTCAATGTTCGTAAGTAAAGTTTTATTTGAACAGATTCATGTTCACCTGTTTACCCATTGTCTATGGCTGCTTTCGCACTAAAACAGCAGAGTTGAGCTTTGCAACAGGGACTGTATGGCCCACAGGCTAAATATATTTAATATCTGGCCCTATACAGAAGAAGGTTGCCAGCCCCTGCTCTAAGACACAGATCAAGTATCATTTTTTTGAAATGCTAAACCCAATGTCCCCAACAAGAAAGATGTGACCTCCTCTGAAAAACCTCTTGCATTTCTTCTGATTAAAATTAATACTTATTTATTATATAAAATAAAGAGTGATGTAAAGAAAAAATTTTTAATTTAAAATAATTTGAAAATTATATTAGCAAAATAAACATTTTATATATTTTATTTATATATCAGTTAAAATTAGAAATAGTTATTACATTTCACAGTTTTTATGAAAGTCAATTTAAATAAGTACCGCAAATATAACACTATATATTGCAAAATGTTATATTACAAGGTAATACTTTCTTATCTACAGGATAGAGCTATGAGGGGGAGCTTGGGAGTCAGTTTTGGATTCCTTTTCCTACTCCATCTTTCACTAGTTGTATAAGCCACTTGAACTCTCCAGTTGAAAGTAACTCTTAGTTTCTTTTCTATAAAATAGTGATAATAATGGTACCTATTTCATAGGGACGTTTTGAGGATGAATTTAAGTAATGCAGCAAAGCTCTTAGCACAGCGCCTGATACATAGTAAGTATTCAATAGATGGTACCTGTCTTTATCTTCACCCTTATCATCTTGTAAGAGTACCTAAAGGATTAGAAATTAGAAAGTTTCTAAATGGCTACAGTGCTCAGCAAGTAGTAGACACTCAATAAATGGCATGTCAAATTAAAAAAACACATAACAAAACATTGGTATCATAACTGTTTCTTACCTCCATTCTGTTAACAGGAAAGGAAGTTCCCGCAGGAAATCAAATTAAAGGGGAAAAGAAAAAAAAGTTAGTACATTTTCATCTTACAATTTGGAAGAGACAGTTTTGACACCACTAATCTCGAAGTTTCTATAAAGTTCTCTGCTTCAGCTAGGAAGCCAGATACTGAATTCACAGGCAGATTTAGAGGAGATTAAGAGAATACTGAACGTCTCCAGGGAGTGCGTTCTTTTCAAACTGAGTTAGCCACGGGCACCATCAGCCAGGCAGCCTCCCAGCTGAGAATTTCCCTCCATTAGCCACCAACGGACTTTGCATTAAGAAAGCAGGATGTGGAGGCTAAGCGAGAGGAGCAGAGGGGAGAGGGGAGGGTGGACAACTGCCCACCCTCCTAGGCTTGGTGAGTGTGTAACCTGTGTATTATATAGGGTTCCACACTCAGAAGGGCCCCATGCTTAGTTTAATGCTCAGCTGTCACTGTTTTGAAAACCTTAGTATCTTTTGAACAAGGGGCCCCACATCTTCATTTTGCATAGAACCCTGCAAAGTGTGCAGCCAGACGTGCCCACAGAGGTAAAAATCCAGGACTCTGAGGAGTCTGCGCTTCTCCTCTGGAGGGTTTAGGTGACTTCCAGCACAAAGGGCCCCAACTCGGGCTCTCCCAAGGCACGAGGGCCCTTGCTAGGGTGCAATATGACCAGCATTTCTGAATTATTCCATCTTCTTTTTGTACAGCAAATTTAAAACTTCGTACTCTTTACCACGTGCTTTATGGTTACTTCCTCCTTGTCCTCTCCCCACCCTCATTTATGAAAGTAAAAAGTCAATATATACTTTGTCTAAAACCAATTTGCTGTATTGGAATTTCTCTTAATATTGAGGTCTAATTTTTTTGAACGTTTTAGATCCATTTGGACGTTTCTCTTGTAGCAATTTTAAAGACTTCAAAATGAATTCTTCTGAGAAGTCATTCTTCTTGAAATAGAATGAGTTTGCATTTCTAACCATTCCCTTTTAAATTTGCAGGAGGTGGTGACTATTGTAACCTTGAGTATGTGACATTTTAAAATCTTTGTGGACCTTCTATTCAATGAGCTGGGGATTATGAGAGGCTGAGCTAGTAAAGAGTATCTCCCACATCAGGACACTATGCAAAGTGGCCTCTTGAAAGACTCTCCAAAGAACGTGTATGTCCTGTGAAAGAGTCAGTAGCAGATGCCTGCAACACAGAGGCGTGAATAACCCATCAAAGCATTAAAAGCCCAAACACTGCATCTGCTGCCATACTGGTTCTGCCATTTACTAGCTATGGGAGCTTGGATACCACTTTGAGCTTCAGTTTCCTCATCTGTAAAATGGGGATAATGAAAGTACCCATCTCATTCAATTGTGGGGATTAAATAAATTCACATACACACACACACACACACACACACACACACACACACACACACATACATACATACATACATATAGTACTGGCACTGGTAATGTACTTTGTAATCAAAGGGCTAAAACATCTCCTGTTCAGGAAAAGACGTTTGCCCCCTTCCCTGTAAATCCTCTTCTCCTGAGGCATGCCGGAGAAATTAGAGAAAAGGAAGAGCAGGGTATACAGCAGCAACAGACTACATTTCATCTACTCTCCAAGTTGCTGAATGAATGACTGACTGCTGTGGGAAGAAGGAAGCAGATGAGGTTTAAATTATATAAGAGAGTGGAGTTTTAATCTAGATCAGGTTGTGGTTTTTAATCTCTAAACAATACCTAGAAATTATAGAGACTGCCTAAAAACTTGTAAAGGATTTGCTTCCCAGAGGGACGAGGAGATTCTAGAAATCAGAATGTCTCGATCCCCAATGGCTGGAGAAAACACCATTTTCTCTGTGTACCTGTCAAATTTAAATGGTTCAATATACGCTGGTTATACATGTAATCTCACCTCTCTGGTACCTATTTAATTTTTGAGTCATTCAAAGTTGTTCTGAAATCTACAATGGACTTTAAAAACAAACTTTTGATATAGAGCAGGATTTTTGCCAAAAATGATCTCCAAAATCTTGTCCTTTCCATATGAATCACTTTGCTTAGGGACAGAAGGCCACATCTTTCTAGCATCAAGAAAAGGAGAAAAGCTGGATGGATTCCTTTGTGATACTTTCCCAACTGTATTCACAAATAAGAACCGACAGACTCGAATGACTATGAAGGGAACACCAAGAGGTGTCCAAGATTTGCAGGACTCCAGCTGCCAGAAAAGTCACTGGTCAATGGCTAAATCAACATCATAGATTTTATACCTATTTCCACTCTGAAAAACATCTAGTAGGTTCTTCCTCTCTTTTGTTGAGATAGGGAGGTTGGGCTGTAGGATTATCATTTTGATCATCCAAGAAATGATGCCAATCATGTCCACAAATTGCAAATTTGAGTTATAATTTAAATTTTAGTGAACTGGGAAAGAGGCCTGCAGGGATCCCTTAACCAGTTAAAATGACCAAAGGGTATGAAATGGGATGAACAGAGCTCTATGTTACTGCTGAACTCGAAAAAGAAGCACTCATGTGCTCCAAATCTCATGGTAATTTTGCCACTGTGCAGATAGAACAGATGGAGGGGAGACAAAAGGAAATTCTTCCACAGAAAATGGCACATAATTTGGAGTAAAGACAACTCCTAATAGCAGCTGAGCAGGGAGATCTAGGGGTCCAAGGTTATGCATATGAAAGAGCCCTCATTTTAATACATAAAAGGGGGATTCAATATCATGGAGATGAGCCAATGCCAAAGGAATCCAGCCATAGTACTTGGGAGGAGGTAATCTTAAACAGGTAATTTCTCCACTTATATTTTCTTTTCTTTGGGGGGCAGGTGTGGCTAGGAGATGAGGAAGGGGTCCAAGAAACTTGCAATTATTAAGTGCTCTTATTTCAAAACTAGAATTTTAAAAATTCCAAAAATGTCTAATATCACCAATATTAGTAGTATCTTTAAAATTATCTAGAAACGTCAGTAAAACTTTGGCCCTCTTCTGAAATGTATAACTGCTCTAATGTAAGAAAGGTGCCTGATTGTAAAAAACACTCTTATGCCTAAGCGCAGAACATCTGGTAACAATTTAATGTGGTTACTGGCTGCTACTCATTTATTCCTTTCCATTTTATTAAAAACAAAAACAAAACACTTTTAATTAATTTAAGACCAGATAAAGGCACCATGACATGGCAGGGATGGTGTCTGTTTTGTTGATAAGAATGCTGTCTACCTATAGTGGCTGAAGCACTGAATGGTAAAGCAAACCATGTGCTCCTGCTATGTTACCACGATGACAAAGAGAAGGCCTCTTGCCAAATACCAGGCATCCTGGTGAGTTTAAATTGCAACTTGAACCTTTTGGGATTGTGAGTAGAGGGGAAATGCAACTTCCTGGTTCATAAGGAAAGGTTCTACAAGTTTTTTTTGACTCCTTTTGATGACTAACAGCAAATGTCAATGAGTCAGAAAAAAGTATATCACAGTTCTCAAACAATGCATAAGGATTTGGGCAGACACATGGAAGGGTTTTGGAGAAATGAAGGTGGATATTTATTTTTTGTTGTCCTTCAAACACTAGAAATATCATTAAACATAATCCTAAGCACTAGACCAGCTTTTTCCATTTCCAGTTTTCCTGCTGGGAAGAGTAAATAAACAGATGGAGTAAATACTTCAAAGGGAAACACCAGGAATGTGATGGAGGGGGCTGATGCCTACTGGGGGTACTAGTGGTCACACTAGTGAGCACTACTAGAACACTAGGGAGGATGGGGATGGCTAAATGAAAAAGAGAGTTTGGAGGAAAGCAGCACTGCCAGAATGGCAAGGGTGACACCATGCCTGACTTGAAGCTCTGAACCTCTGGCCAGCCTCATCCAGGGACAAAGGCGGGAGGGGCTGGAAGCAGAAATGGAAAAAGCAGATGCCACGTCCAAGCTTTGGGAGATCTGGGGAGCATAAGACTTCTTTTAAACGATCCTAAGTTAAAGTTTCACCAGAGTGGCCTCACTTCCCTGGCCTAGGGAGCACTGCAGGGTTGGGAAGTAGTTTCCTCCATGATTATAGAGGAACCTTTGGGGGACATCTAGCAGGTCTAACTGACAAGAACAGGTCAAAGAGAGGAAGAGAAAATGGGAAATGTCTCATGGGGGTTCAGAGGTCTTATACAATTGCACTCATAAGACACCCTCATTAGATCTGTCTGGGTAAATTTTGGGAAAAGTTGGGGAGGGTCAGGTCCCCTGATAGAACCAACTAGAAAAACAGACCAGGGGTTGAACAAAAGAGTCCTGTAGGTTTTTACGAATTAGGGCAGGGAATAATACTAGATATGTAGCAATTTTCCAACTAATAGACAGATCTCTAATTGATCATATCCACTCTAGACTCTTTTAGACTTTTCCTTTTTTATTTTTCAGTTTTTGAATAACAACTCTCATTTCATCACGTGACTCCGAACATTGCGCAACACTGTGATTCTGATGTCTCAAGATACTGTAGGCAGATATTTTCTAGAGGAGAAGGGAGAGGGAGCCTTAGTTTTGCAGTCTTCTCTTTGCTCCATAGGCCCAGCCTTGTCCAGTGCTCTCTATAGATTTCTCTGTGGCCTCTGTTCGCCCATATTAAAAATCACAGACATTACTGGAAAGTTCCCCAGCAGGGAAGATCAAAGAAGTGGCACTGTAATAAAAAACAGCAGGCTCTGGGGAGCTGGCCCTGGGCACAGGCTCTACCAGTGCTCACCTTACATGTGAGGCCAAACACCTCCCTGCCGACCCTTGGGCAGTAGGCACGTTGTGAATATAACATGCCTGGCATTTCCTGATACAGGGATTATTTCCGTCTCTAGGAATTCCACTAATGTTCTCAGAAGCCTTTGGGACATTTAAATTTTAAAAATAAACCTTTAGAACTCAATACAAATATCCTAGAAATCCCTGTGTCAGCCCTTTTCCTTGAAAACACCTGTAAGTCCTGCTGTCGCCTGCATGATACAGGAGAGGGAAGGACCATGGGGGTCAGGCTCTTGATTAAAATGTCCTCAAGAAATAGCCATGCAGAAATTGGCACAACCATGTTAAATATCTGCCACTTACTGCTTGAGAGCCTTGGAAAGTTTTATTAACTCAGAGAAAGAAAGGGGAGAAGGGAAGGGAAAGGAAATAAAGAAGAAGGAAGGAAGGAAGGAAGGGAGGGAGGGAGGGAGGGGGAAAGGAAAGAGAGAAAAGAAAAAATAAATAAATGAGCTCCTGGAAGCTGTTATCCATCACTTGGGCAGGTATTTGAGGATTTAGTTTTTAAGGGAGCAAATCAGCCAAAATCCATATCTAGGTCTCCTGTGGAGTATCTCCATGGAGGAGGAAATAGCCCAAAGGAGACCAAGGTAAGACATAAAAGAAAAGGGAGATTTTCCCCAATGTCACCAGTTGTAGAATAGTGCCAACTATCTCCTCTCCTGGGACATTGCAATTTTGAAGTCCATCCTACCTGATATACTGATGGTGGCTGCAGCCTTTGCAGTACTGAATTTCTCTCCATGCTTATTAGTAGCTATGCATGTGTAGAGTCCTGGCTTGGTGATAAACAGCTGCAGTCTTGAATCAATCACCCGGTCTTTCACACTCTCTTGAATGGATCCAGAAGAAACCTGATGGAGTAGGGGAAAATAAAAGATAAAACTAGGTCAAGGATTTCCTAATGTACTGCATCAGTAGATTTGAAGGGAAAAGCATTAAGATTATGATCAAAAGGCATGTGGTAGATTGCAAAAATAGAGCCCAAATTTGCCCTCCCTATGCCCATGTCCTTGCAATGTGACTTTGTAGCTCTTCCCTCAAGAGTTAGCATCTTTCACTACACTTTGAATCTTGATTAGCCTTGTGATGTGTTTTGGAATGACTGAGCAGAAACTTGTAAATTTCTTGCACATTGTGGTTTGCTTGTTGCTTTCGGAATCTTTGGCCTCCTGTGAACAAGTCAGAGCTAGCTTTCTAGAAGATGAAATGCACAAGGTCCATTTATCCCCACTGCTCCAGGTGGGACCCAGCAACAACCATCAGACATATGAGTAAGGCTACTCTGGACCAACCAGAACCCAGTCAACCAGCTGAGATCAGGCATGCTGGCCCAAATCAGCAAAACCACCCAGTTGACCCACACAGTTACGAACATTAATAAATGGTTACTGTTTTAAGCCACTAAGCTTTGGGATAGTTTATGATACAGCAGCTGATAGCTAAGGCAAGGTATGAATGATATACCGTGTGGATCCTCTGTGTTCTCTACGTCTGCAGTTCCCAACCCTGAGGCCACAGCCTGGTACCAGTCCATGGCCTGTTAAAAAATAGGCCATATATAAGTGTCTGAGCTCCTCCCTCAGTCCATGGAAAAATTGTCTTCCAAGAAACCGGTCCCTGATACCAAAAAGGTTGGGGACCACTGCTCTATGTCATGAAGAAAGGGACAGTCAAGTATAAGGGGTTGCAGACTTCTGGACTTACATTCATAACTCTTGTTCAGTTCCCAACACATTCATGTTAGATTGGTGGATAGTTATCAAGAAAAATGGTTGTGAGGCCAAGGCTGTTTCTGAGGCATGATATACATGATGCTAAACCACTTAAATCAGAAAATCGTATGTCCTTGATGAGCCAGGATATCAATGCAATATTAGCACGTAATTGACAGGTTAATTTATATAAGTGTTTATCTGTTAGTCATCATCTTTCCAACTGTATTGGAAAGGCAGCTTCCCAGTATATTCCATGAGACTGTAGAGTTAGAATTTGTATCCTAGCTTGTCTTACACTAAATCCTATGCTTTAGCCATTATGTTACAGTGCTTTCCCTAGTCATAGAAGAGAGAACAAATGAATAGTCATTAGAAAATAAGAGCATTAGAAACAATACCCTTAACAAATCAAACAACCATGAACAAAATAAATGTCTGACAAATGTGACTGTTAATGGTGGTATTTTTTTTAAAGGGAGTTTTTTTCTTCACTGTTTTCTTGAGCACTATACCATCTTTTCAATAATTATTCTTTAATTAACAGTACCTATATGATGGGAAAATGATGACAGTTTGACGGAAATTGGAATGGAATAACAAGTAATCAGCCCATGGTATGCCTTGATCTTATTCTTGGAGGAGTGGAGGTGGGTATTATGGCAGACTGAGCTTGGCTGCCTTGAAAGGATGTCTCTGTCCAGTTGTAGGAAATGAGGCTAGGAATGAGAAACTTTGGAGCCAGTTATTTTGCTGTTTTGCAAGAGAAGATTTTCACAGTTAGACTGGCAAGGGGGAAGGAAGCCTGAGGTGAGACCGGCTTTCTTCCTAGCTGGCAGACGGCTGGATATCCCTGGCTCCAAGCACTCTCTGCAGCAATTAAGCAGTGAAAGTTTGTCCAGTTAGAGTCTTTGTCTTAGTATTCTTTACCTTTCCCACCATTCTAGATCCTTATGATAAAAACTGGTTTATGGGAAGAGAGAAAAATATCTTTAAGAGATATACACCCAGTTGGGAATTCAAACTAAATTCATTATTATCATATTTATCAGAAGAGCAACATCTTATGGATATGAATGTCCAAGGTTGATTGAAAGGGCTGAGAACTTGAATATAATTTTGGACTCTCCCTGAATTTTAATACAAAGCAACAATGAGAAAAAAGCTAAAGACCTCAAACCTCTATGCTCAATTAATAAGTTTGATGTTATTTTGAGTTTTGTTTATAAATATAACCCATTTTCAGTTTAGGTAAGTTAAATTGTAGACCAGTTTGGTTCTCTCCTTCAGGAAGGAAGGCTGTGAGAAAGGAGAGGCAAAATGGTGGACTAAGAGCACCCCGTGTGCTGTTCTCAAGGAGAGGACTGAAGGTTGCAGGTGGATGCCCACTTACAGATGGGCCTTCTTGGAGAGAGCATTGTGATACATTAGAGAAGTGATGGGGACACTAAGAATGAAGGAGAAGGTGACAGGGTGACCCACTTGGCAAGATTGGGAGATATCTGGGGGAGGCATCCACATGTGGGAAAGGACAAAGAGAACCCTGGGGCTCCATGCTCCCACTGTGGACACTGCAGCCTGAGCTGTGAGGGGGGCCCCTACCATGACTACAGACCTTCAGACTGATCTGGGAGTATGTGCAGCTACTTTGGACTGGAGTGCAGGCATAGCACAAACCTGGTAACCTCTGTTCCTAGGTCGCTGAAGCTGACACCATTCCGAGCTCTCAGGTCAAGAGCGCCTGGTCTACACAGGGCTTGGCTTTGCTACAGCCCCCTCTGCATTGCCCTGGCCAGGCTGGAGAGGGAGCAGGGAGAACAAATGTATTCATGCGCCTATGACTGGGAGCCAAGCACCCTTCCCCCTCATGAGGGAGTCTAGCAGACTTCCATCAAGTATGCCACCTGAGAAGCCCTGAGGTAACTGCCTCAGCAGGTCCTGGGCAGGGGGAGATCTCCAGCTGCCTGGAGGCCTGGTCCCATGCCCCCACCTCCAAGGCTACTACTGACCCATCCCCTAAGCTTCTGTGCTGCTGGGCCCATGGCTCTACCCGTGAGGCTCTCACCCACTACTAGGCAAAAACCACCCCTGTGGTCCAATGGTCTGCCAGGTGTCTGCTAACTGCAAGCCACCATCACACCTGGACCTAGGTGGAGTGAACTCCCACAGCCCTGAGCCTTGCCCAGCTGCTACTACCACTACTGTGGGGAGACCCAGGCAGAGTAATCCCCAGCAATGTCAGGCTTTGTGGAGAGAGACTCACTCAGCTCCATGCCTGAGCTTCTATCAGTGGCTCAAAGAACAACCCACCACTTCCATGGAGATCCTCCAACATTGGCTTGGACCATGACAATCACAGGGGAATGGGACAACACAGAATAGCTGCATACAGTCTCTCAGTGCATCTGCTACTCTCTTGCCAGGTCAATCCTCCTGAATAGGTCAACAGGGTGCCATCTAGGGACCTCTCCTTCTTCTAAGTAGGAGAGTTCCCGGCAAAGGAGAACAGATATGCCACAAACCTATCAGCCCTGAGCTAACAGAGTAGAATTCAGATGAGAAGAAACCAGCAAAAGAACTCTGGCAATATGAAAAAAACAAGCTAGTTAGGCACCCCCAAAGGATCAAAATGATCTATAGCAACAGACCACAACCAAAAGGAAATTGTCAAAATGTCAGGAATGGAATTCAGAATATGGATGGCAAATAAGATGAATGGCTTTGAAAAGAAAGTTGAAAACAAACACAAAGAAGCCAAAAATAATATTTCAGGACGTCGATGAAAAAAAAAGTTGCTAAAGAACTAGACAACAAAAGAAAGGATATAACGGAACCCAAAGAAATCAAAGAGTCATTTAGGGAACTTCAAAATACAGCAGAAAGCTTCAATAACAGGCTAGACCAAGCAGAAGAAAGAATCTCATGCTTTCGAACTAACCCAGTCAGTTAAAGATGCAGAAAAAAAGAATAATAAAGAATGAACAACAAATGAAAGAAATATGAGACTGTGAAGCAAGCCAATATAGGTATCCTTGAAGGAGAAGAAGAAACAGCAAAAAGCATGGAAAATGTATTCTAGGGAATTATTGAGGAAAACTTCCCTGGTATCACCAGAGATTCATGTTCTCAGATACAAGAAGGTCATTTAACATCAGGAAGATTCACAGCAAATAGGACATATCCAAGACACAATGTCATCAACCTGGCCAAAGTCAAAATGAAGGCGAAAATTCAATAAGCTGCAAGATGAAAGCATCAACTCACCTACAAAGGAAAATATATCAGGCTGACATCAGACTTTTCAGCAGAGACCTTATAAGCCAGAGGGATTGGGGCCCAATTTCTAGTCTTCTTAAACAGAAAAATTGCCAACCAGGAATTTTACATCATGCAAAAGTAAGTTTCTTAAAGGATAGAGAAATAAAGACTTTCAGACAAGCAAACAATAAGAGAATTTGTCAATACTAGGCCTGTTCTACAGGAAATACTCCAAAGTGCATTATACGTGGAACAACACAATAGATAAGACACCAATGTAAAAAAAAAACTGGAAGTTAAAGCTCACAGCTGTTATAAAACAATAGTACAAGAGGGAAAACAAAACAATGAGGTATCATCCAACATGATGAACGGAACAACAGTATCCCACATATCAATACTAACACTGCATGTGAATGCTCTTAATGCCCCACTGAAAAAACATATACTGGCTGAAAGGATGAAAAAACCAGAACCCAAATATACACTGTCTTCAAGAAACACATCTAACTCACAAGAATTCACAAAGACTTAAGGTAAACGGATGAAAAAAAATTCCATGCAAACAGAAACTAAGAGTGAGCAGGTATAGCCATTCTCATATTAGGTAAAATAGACTACATCAACAATAGTACAAATAGACAAAGATGGTCATTATATAATGGTAAAGGGGCAATTCAACAAGGAGTCATAACAATCCTAAATATACATGTACCTAACAGAGGAGCTCCTAGATTCATAAAGCAGACTACTTGATCTAAGCAAAAAATAAACAGTAGCATAGTAATATCTGGAGACTTCCACACCCCATTAATGGAATTGGACAGATCATCAAAGCAGAAAATGAATAAAGAAACACTGGACTTAAATGGGAATCTAGA